ATCTAAGTATCATGGTTTAAAGCCAGCCTGGGCAAGAAAGTCCATGAGACTCTTATTTCCAATTAACCACTAGAAAAACCAGAAGTGGTGCTGTGTTCAAAGTGGTAAAGTGCTAGCCTTGAATGAAAAAGCTCAGGAACAGGGCCCAGGTCCTTAGTTCCATGACTATGACTACCACCACCACCACCACCACCACCACCACCAACACTGAAGACCAATTCAGGGTTCAGTGAACCAAAACCTCAGCTGAAGAAAATCTTCACAACCACTGGTGACTCTGGGGATTTCTGAGCAATCAAAATCACAGCGGTCACCCTAGGAGCCCTGAAACTGCAGCCTGGCTCGCTGGCTCCTCCCTGCATTGTCCTCTGCTGGGAAGGGAATGCATGACATCACGTGACCTGCCCCCTGCTGGAAGCACCACAGGCCCTCACCATTGTCGGTGGCCAAGACCATGACTTCGTAGACATTGTTCTTCACAAACTGCTCATCTTCTCGGTCTAATGTGCCTGCTGCAGTGACCCTTCCGCTTTCTGGGTCCATGGCCAGCCACCCTGCCGGGTCTCTCAGGATGTGGTAGCTGGAGGAAGAGAAGGCCTGTATCCAGCATACTTAGAACTGTAGTGTCACCATTTAAAGTCTTCTCAGGACTGAGTTGCTAAGGACCACAGGGGCTGTATCTCACTGTAAATGGAGCCTAACGCAGAGGAGTTGAGGTGGCAGGGAGGGATGGAAGGGCGTCGATAGGACACACCTGTCCCCTGAACCCCTACCTTGCCAGCCTTGAGCACCGCAGGAAGAGAGGTCTAATTAAGGGTGAAGTCCAAACTTCCGAACAATCGTTATGGTAACTCCTATAACGCACTCACTGCCCCTGTGTGCTTGGTTGGCCTGGGGCCTGGGTACCTGATCTGCTGACCCTCCTTGTCAGGGTCTTGTGCAGTGTAGATGCAGACAGTCTCCCCAACGGAGATGCCCTCCTGGGCCTCGATGACTTTGGATGATGGAACAAACATGGGAGCCTCGTTCACATCTTCCACATGGACCACGACGGTGGCCGTGGAGGTGGGGAGCTTCACCACGAAGGGCGCCTCATTGGTCACTTCGACATACAAGGTGTGCTGGTTTTGGGCCTCGAAGTCCAAACCCTAGGGAAGAAGGAGGATCTGAACCATCATTCTGTGAGGAGGTATATGGGTCTCACAAGGGCCACAAGGAGGGTTTTGAGGCCCACACAAGCAACAGTCCTGCCTCTTCTTTGTCCCCCACTCCCAAAGCTTCCTGTTTTTCCCAAGTGGACACTGAGATTGTTCCAAAGACAACTAGCTTAGGAAAGCCTAGAACACTTGTTCCCAATGGGGCAGCGACATCCTCCAGGACAGATGACATGGACCTTGGAGTGTTTGAGAAACTTCTAGAAACATTCTAGTTGTTACAGATGGGGGTGCCTTTGGCATCTATAGGTTGGGGCAGTGGTCCCTCGTCCCTTTGAGACACCAGGAACTGATCCCACATCCTACATGACTAGCCAATATCCCCTCGGCCAGCTATACATTTGTGGGTAGGAGAAAATCTGCTTGGAATTTGAGTTAAGAATATGTTTTACATATATAGCCAAGATGTTGGTGTGGTTTTAATATATACTGCATTTTCTAGCCATGCAACTTCTAAAGGGGCTCATAATTGGATTTGTTTGGGACTTCTCTGGGATTTGTTTGCTCACTGTTCCGAGAGGGCATGAGTACCAGTAGTGGTGGTGCTGCCAAGACGATGCAGTATCCATGCATCTGGTTGGCTCAACAAACAGGCTGAGTTAACTAACCACTTCATTATGTTTATATTTTTGAGACATGTAGCCTCTGGCTACATTTGTGGCTCGAATGTCTTAGATTCTCAAGTGCTTCATGATGTGTTCTAATGTAGTTGATTCTTCTAGAAACATACATTTTTAAGTGTGTGTGTGTGGGGGGGGTAGGTGTCCTGGGGCTTGAACTTAGGACCTAGGCTCTGTCCCTGAGCTCTTCTGCTCAATGCTAACACTCTATCACTTGAACCACAGATCCATTTCTGGTTTTTGGGTGGTTAATTGGAGCAAAGAGTCTCACTGACTTTCCTATCCTGGCTGGCTTCAAACTGTAATCCTCAGATCTCAGCCTCCTGAGAAGCTAGGATTACAGGCTTGAGCCACCAGTGCCTGGCAAAATAGGCTTTTTGAAAGTCAAAGATGTATTTACTAATTTAAAACTTTCTACTTCTAAATTCCTAGAAAGGTTTGTAAGAGAGTAAGGAGGAGCAAATGAGCCTAATCCGAGTAAGGCCGAGCCCCTCAGTGGGAGATGACTGGACACATGTAGCCTGTGGACACCAGGCTTTGGAAGGAGGTCCAGGATGGTGGGGAGAGGAAGAGGGGGAGGAAGAGGGAGAGGGAGGAGAGAGAACAAGGACGAGGAGGAAGGGGAAAAAGGAGGAGGGAGAGAGGAGAAACAGCAGTACTTCTCACATTGTCATGAAGTGGGTGTTGGACAACAGGATCCTCAACACGGGAATGAGGGGGGCAATCCCCCAGAAATGGACCCAGACAAGTGACCTGGGGTGATGAGCAGCCCTCCTTGGTGGGGGTGGGGGGGAGGGGATGCAGACCTGGCCGTCCCAGGTATGCCCTTTGCTTGAAGCCCAACTGCACTCACCTTCCTGGTGGTCAGGATGCCCTGGTTGCTCTCAGGGTGCGTGGTGATGGTGAAATGGTCCGTGGCGTCACCTCCCACGATGCGGTAGGAGGCATGCCAGGCTGGTGAGTTGGGGGCGTCCAGGTCGGTCACTGTCAGCCTCTGCACTTCCTGGCCCACTTTGTTCTCGGGTACCCGGGCCTCGTACTGTCGGCGTGGGAAGCAGCCTCATGAGCGCAGAGCCTGACCATCCGAGCCTGCAACCCCTCTAGACCACTTACTTCTGAGAAAAACCCCATGGCCTTTACCCTTTCCTGGACCACCAGCCTCCGCCCCCAGCAGGTTTTAGAGGCACACACTGTGAAGAAAGTCCTGAGTATCAGACTCCCTGTCATGGGGACAGGACACACCAACACTGGACCCACTTTCTGTCCCCCTCCAGGGCCTAGTGCCCAAGAGTTTTGCTGGTCTGGGCGGCCTAGCCAAGGCTGTGCACAGCCGCCTATCCAGCTGAGATCTGAAGGGCCAGTGTCTGGCTATGTCAGGGCGCTGGCCAGGAACTTCTATGGAAGTTTGTACTGGTCAGTAAAGGCTGGAAGGTCAGCCACTGAGAACAATTTTTTTTTCTCTTTTCTCTCCCTTCCTTCCTTTCTCTCTCTTTTGTTATGGGGCTTGAACTCGGGGCACCCAGGCTGTTCTTGACCTCTTTTGCTCAAGGTTAACATTTTACCACTTTGAGCCATAGTGCCCTGGTAGTTAATTGGAGATAAGAACCTCACAGACTTTCCTATCCAGGCTGGCTTTGACCCATGATCCTCAGATCTCAGCCTCCAGAGTAGCTAGGATTACAGGTGTGAGCCATCAGTGCCTAGCTTAAAATGAAACAGATTTCTATTTATTTATTTATTTAGATGGTTATAAGGCTTGAACTCTGGGCCTGAGCTGCTGTCTGTGAGCAATTTTGCTTAAGGCTAGCACTCTATCACTTGAACCATAGCACCACTTGTGGTTTTTGAGTGGTTAATTTGAGATCAGTCTCATGGAGACTTTTCTGCCCTGGCTGGCTTTGAACTACGACCCTCAGACTCAGCCTCTTGAGTAGCTAGGATTACAGGTGTGAGCCACTAGTGCCAAGCTTAGAACAAAAAAAAATTTTTTTGGCTGGGGGGGTCAGTTGTGGGGCTTGAACTGTGGGCCTGGGCGCTGTCCCTGTGCTCTTCAGCTCAAGGTGAGCGCTCTCCCACTTGAACCACAGCGCCACTTCTGGTTTTCTAGTGGTTTATTGGAGATAAGAATCTCATGGACTTTCCTGCTCCGGCTGGCTTTGAACCTGGATTCTCAGATCTCAGCCTCCTGAGTAGCTAGGATTACAGGTGTGAGCCACCGGTGCCTGGCTTAGAACAAGCTTTTAACAATCCCTGAAATAACATTCAGCAGCTGGACTTGTCTATGGATAAGATGTAGTATGTACATCCCCTTGACTCACACCGAGTTGTCTGTCACTGGAAGGAACACGAATTCATGGGGAAGGTGAGCGTGTATAGGTATATGGCCAGTATGTTTCCATATCAAAGATTTTCCTGTCAAGCACCCTTTTCCAGGTTTGTGTTAAGACCTGAACATATATCATTTCATTTCTGACCAGAAAGATGTGGCAGTCATTTTATCATTATCTCTGTTCCACAGATGAGGGAATGGGGCACAGAATGGTCAGGTACTGGGATAAGTAAGGAGACTGTAAGCAATAAGTAAGCAATGTAGCTAGGTAAACACTCAGCCCATTGTTAGTGCCTGGGAGCAAGGGAAGAGGGACATTACCTTCTGGGGCTCGAACACGGGCGCATTGTCATTGGCATCAAGAATCTCTACTATGGCCACTGCTGTGGCAGAGGACCCTTCCCCATCCAGGTCTGTAGCGTGGATGGTCAGCGTGTACTCAGGGATTTTCTGGGGAGAAAAGGAGGAGAGAGGAAGCTCGTGGGGACTCCAGTCCTTGCTTGGGTTCCAGAAAGCAGGAAAAGCAATGGTGGCTTCTTCCCCTCTCTCATGCTGTTTTCTCCCCACTTCCCTGGGCCCCCACCACGTAGAACAGAGGCAAGAAGTTGAGGGGGGCCATAGGATGATCACAGGTCCCAATAGCTCCCCAGGGCCTGTTCCTGACCCTCGGCTGTTTCGCCGAAGACATTCATTAGGAAACAGAATGCAACACCAGTTTGCTCAGAGCTAATCCCACTTTGTGGCCCGCCAGGGACAGATCGAAGCAATGTGCACACTGAGAGCCATTCTGAGAGGAAATGAGAAAACCTCCAGAAAACACCGAGTTTCCATGTGGCACCTGCCATCTCCCCCCTCTCCTCAGCAGGGATCTGGGGAGGCCATCTGGCAGGACGCCAAAGGGAGATGTGCCTCGAGCTTCTCTCTGATCAGGCCCAGCCTGGGAGAGCCCGCGGTCAGCATTTTCCCCGATCACCAACCTCCCGGTCCAGGCCACTGGAGATGACGCTGATGGTGCCAGTGCTCCGATGGACGGTGAACATGAGGTCGTGCGGGTCCTTCGGTTCCTGGCTGTGGATGGTGTAGGCGATCACGCCGTTGTACGTGTTGATGGCATCATCCTCATCTGTGGCTGTCACCTGCATCACAGAAGTGCCTGGAGAGGAGAAGGGAAAGGTGACAAGCTTTCTCTGCCAGCTCCAATTCCAACCTCAGCAGTTCTACTTTGAAGCTAGCCAGAGCCCATCTGGAACCTATTCTTCTTTCTTAAAAGATGACATCTTTTTTTTTTTTCAGGCCAGGCTCTGATCCACCTGGGAGAAAACACTATTTCCCAAGCTTTTTTTTTTTTTTTTTTTTGGCACTGTACCACTTGAGCCAACATCTCTACTTCTGGCTTTTTGTTGGTTAATTGGAGTTAAGAGTCTATGTGTGTATTTATAAGATTATGTCTTTGTTGCCTTGTATGTCCCTCCCCCATGGTATAACCCCTGCTTTCACTATATATGTTGTTGTGTATATGTGGAGGGGAAGGGAAAAAACAAATTGTTAAAACAGGGATACAGGAGGACCCATTGCAACAATGAGATGTACAAGTCGTTATGTCAAAAAAACGAACTTTACAACTTTGATGGGGGAGACGGGGCTGGGGGGTGGGGGGGGGAGAGGATACGACGGGATGGGAAGGGGAAACAAAGGAGGAGGCTACAATGCTTGATAAGAAATGTGCTCATTATCTTACCCATGTAATTGTAACCCCTCTGTACAGTATTGTCACAATAATAATAAAAAAAAGTCTATGTGTGGGTGTGTATGTGTGGGTGCGCACGCACACCCACACCCACACATGCACATATGCCTCAATCTCAGGGCTAGGGTGCTATCCCTTAGCTTCTTTGCTAAGGCTGATGCCCTACCACTTGAGCTGCACCTCCACTTATGGCTTTTTGGTAGTTAACTGAGATGGGAGTCTCTTGGACTTTCTTGACTGGGCTGGCTTTAAATCATGATCCTTAGATCTCAGCCTTCTGAATAGTTAGGATTACAGGGGTGAGCTGTTGGTTTTTTTTTTTTTTTTTGACAGTTGTGGGGCCTGAACTCTGGGCACTGTTCCTCAGCTCTTCAGCTCAAGGCTAGCGCTCTACCACTGAGCCACAGCACCACTTCCGGCTTTTTTCTGCTTATGTGGTGCTGAGAAATTGAACCCAGGGCCTCATGCTTGCGAGGCAAGCGCTCTACCACTGAGCCAACTTCCTAGCCCTACAGGGGTAAGCTGTAAGCACCTGGTCAAAGTGTTTTTATTGTGGGACTTTCTGACATTAGCAGTGAGTCTTCACTACAGAGGAGGAGCCTCTCCTTGAGAGGTGTGCTGGTCCCCACCACCCTCTTCTCCAGCCCTAGCAACTTGTTCTGTTCTCCACAGATCAAGTGCCTCCCAGCCACAACCCTCAGAGCAGAAGAACTTCCAGTCAGAAGCTGGGTCTGGGTGCAGCAGACTCAGAGTTGCCCTCTCCTGGTCCCCTTACCAGGCAACACCCCCTCTAAGACACTCCCTCTGAAGACATCTTGGGTGAACTTGGGTTTGTGGTCATTCTGGTCCGTCACGATGACCGAGATGTTCATGGGATCCTCCACCGAGGCCCCGTTCTCCGACACGGCGTGGCCAAAGAGCTGCGGGCACACAAGTCTGCACTCAGCCTGCCGCTCCCCCACCACCCCTGACACCTGGCCCACCTGGGGGGACAGAGACAATGCTGGGGACGGGGGTGGGGGGGTATGTTACAGAGATGCCACTTGCCTCATACTTGGCAATCTTCTCCCGGTCCAGGGGTTTGTTTAGCAGCAGCCAGCCTGTCTCCTTCTCTATGGTGAACACACCCTCCGGGGGGCTGTCTGCTCCTGGCCCTGTGATGCTGTAGAAAATCTTGGTGCCTCGGTCCTTATTAGATTTGAGCTGGAAGCAAAACCAAATGGCAACTGACATTTTCCTGACATTGCCAATTCCTCACCAGCACAGTGAAGAACCTCGCAGCCCAGCTTGCAGTCACCATGGCTGGCGGCGGGAAGGCAGTCATACCTGATTCAGCCTCTGGGGGAAAGGGCCCTTGCCATTCTCAGGAACAGATATAGGCGGCACCACCCACTCTCGCTTGCGTCTTCGTAAGATACGTTTTAATGGGAAGATCTCTGCTTCTTTCCTTTCCTGCAAGGAGAGAAGACCCTGAGCTCAAATGTGTAAGAGATGGTTATACCCAGAACCCTGTTAGCTATAGCAACTAAGGATGAGAAGGGAGACCTAGAGGGGTACACTGATGAGGGCCATATACCACAGCACCCTCATGTACAGGAATACTACATAGCTTTAAAAATTGAGGAACAGCCTGTAATCCTAACTACTCAAGAGGCTGAGATCTGAGGACCATGGTTCAAAGCCAGATTAGGCAGGCAAGTCTGTGGGACTGTTATCTCCAATTAACCACCAGAAAACTAGAAGTGATGCTGTGGTAGAGTGCTAGCCTTGAGCAAAAGAGCTCAGAGATAGCACCCAAGGCCCTGAGTTCAAGCCCCACAACTGCAAAAACACAAAACAAAAAACATAGCACTTACTATGTGTCAGGCACTGTAAGAGGGTAGGGAAATAAGACCCTATGTTCATGTTTTTTGTTGTTGCTGTTTTGTAGTACTGGGGTTTGAACTCAGGGGACTTGCACTTGCTAAGGAGGTAGGAAGGTGCTCTAAGCTATACCAGAATCTCCTGGTTATGTCTGGGGACAACTACCATGTTCAGCCTTTATATGTTCTTGGCACAGATAAAGTCTGGGATAATAGAGAGGAAACTACTAACAGTGCTTATCTGCAGGGGGACAAAGAACAAACTGTAATCATAATAAACCACATGCAAAAGTTCAGATACAAAGTTTATTGGCTTGGACTGGGAAGGTGGCTCAGTGGTAGAGTGCTTGCCTTGCATGCCTGAGGCCCTGGGTTCAATTCCTCAGCACCACATAAGCAAAAAGAAAAAAGCCAGAAGTGGCGCTGTGGCTCAAGTGGTAGAGCACTAGCCTTGAGCTGAAGAGTTGAGGGACAGCACCTAGGCCCAGAGTTCAGCCCCAAGTGATGTCCTTCAATGCTCTCTGAGAGCTCCCCCCAAAAAAAAAAGTTTATTGGTTTTTTGCAAGAAAAGGAAATGTCTATTTTTATATTCATCTATCTAGATGGAAATGAAACATGTAAGCTTGGGGCTTAAACTCTGGGCCTGGATGCTGTCCCTCAGCTCTTCAGCTCAAGGTGAGCACTCTACCACTTGAGCCACAGCGCCACTTCTTATTTTTTGGTGGTTAATTGGAGATAAGAGTCTCATAGACTTTCCTGCCCAGGTTGGCTTTGAAGGGAGATCCTCAGATCTCAGCCTCCTGAGTAGCTAGGATTACAGGCTTGAGCCATCAGTGCCTGGTTAACACCTAACCTATCTAAACACATATAAAATGAAATGTCTTGACTCTGCAGGGAGGGGGTGGGGGGGTCCTAGCCCATAATTATCTATATCTTCTCTTAGAGAGGTACAGGAGCTTTAGGTAGATACAGACAAATCAGACTGTTCATTATAGAGACTTTTCCCCCCTCCTCCCCCTTTTTGTGATACTGGCGCTTGAACTCAGGGCCTTGTGTTTGCTAGGCAGATACTCTACCACTTCAGCCATGCCAATAGTTCCCAAATAGCTATTTAAAAAATTAAAAGAGTGCTGGGAAGGTGGCTCAGTGGTAAAGCGCTTGCCTTGCATGCATGTGGCCCTGGGTTCGATTCCTCAGCACCATATAAGCAAAAAGAAAAAAGCCGGAAGTGGCGCTGTGGCTCAAGTAGTAGAGTGCTAGCCTTGAGCTGAAGAGCTGAGGGACAGCGTGCAGGCCCAGAGTTCAGGCCCCCACGACCAGACACCCCCCCAAAAAAAAAACCCAAAATGCATGGCCCAATGCCTGAAGTCCACCTTCCTAGAGGCTCATGGGACTGGCAGTGCTTACTGGGATGGCCTTCATTAGGGTTAGCCTGGAGAATGAGAGAAGAGAGGAAGGAAGCAGGGAGGAAGGAAAGTAGGGAGAGGTCCACAGGACAGAGTCCTGAGATCCTGCAAGGCAGCACTTTGCCTCTCTGACCTGTCTCTCTGGTGCCCCCTATTGGGCAGCCACAGTTACTTCCCTGCTTGGTAGCCCCTCCTGCTCACATTGGGTGGCTAAGGACTCTGCTGCTTCTTAGGAAGGGTTAACTAGGCTGATAGCTGCTATAGCCAAAAGCCTCCAGTCCTGCTGCGGCCACAGAGTATCTTCCTTTTTTTTTTTTTTCCCCCAGTCCTGGGGCTTGAACTCGGGATCTGGGCACTGTCTTTGAGTTTCTTTTGGTCAAGGTTAGCACTCTACCACTTGAGCCACCATGCCACTTCTATTATGTGGCACTCTTCTATTTATGTGGTACTGAGGAATCGAACCCAGGGCTTCATGCATGCTAGGCAAGCACTCTACCACTAAGCCACATTCCCAGCCTGCATCTTCCTTTTGTCCTGAGAGTGGATGTGTTGTGTTACCTGGACAGTTCCTCCGGCCAGCACACTGAAGTCGCCATTGTCAATGCTGAGCAGAGGCACCTGTTTTCCAGGAGAGCCAGTGAACGCTGCTGTGGGAAAGGAAAGAAGAGGTATGAGAGAGAAGGTGACATCTGCAAGCTACCACAGGGGAAACAACCTGACAAAAGGCCCTGAATGGATCAACGGCTGGTACAAAGTGACCACAAGAGAAGCCTACATTCAGAGGCCATCCACTGACCACTGGCAGTTTGTAGGTGCAATTTGCCCCCCCCCCCTTTTTTTTGTTGGTCGTCAGTCTTAAACTCTGGGCCTGGGCACTGTCCCTCAGCTCTTCAGCTCAAGGTAAGCTCTCTAACACTTACGCTACAGCACCACTTCTGTTTTTTTCTGGTGGTTAATTGGAGATAAGAGGCTCATGGATGTTCCTGCCCAGGCTGGCTTTGAACTGTGAACCTCAGATCTCAGCCTCCTGAGTAGCTAAGATTATAGACGTGAGCTACTGGCACCCAACCTGCAATACCTTTTTTGTTCATGTGGCCGGAGGACCAAGATCAGACATTCAGTGGGTAGCCTTGTGAGACACAGGGTTGATAAGGCCATAGCAAGAGGCAGATGGTGGTCTAATGGTCATAAGACTACACATAACCCAACTCCTGTCATGTGGGATGGCACACTGTTGCTCACATGCCCCCTTGAACAACTACCACTTATTTTAGCTTGCTGTACGTTCCTTCTGAAAATCCCTATTAGGCTAGCCCTCCAACAAGAAGTTTGATCCTCTTGCCTCAGCCTTCTGAATGCCGAATTTGCAGGTGTACATCACTACACCCAGTTTAAACAAGCATTCTACCATGGAGTTACACCCTAGTCCAAGAATATAGGAAAGTCAGAATTCCCCTGCATTGCTGGGGGAAATGGTGCATACTTGACAGAATACTATTCCTTTAAAAAAAAAGGAATAAAGCCTTTAAAAGGAACTAAGCCTTTATAAGGAATGTTCTTTAAAAAAAAAAAAGGAACAAAATTCTGACACCTACTGTACAACAAGAATGAGCAATGGATGTTGAGAAATGCTAAGCTGGGTGTAGATCAGCAGACTTTTGAGGTCATGGTTCAATCCTCACACCAGAAAAACACTTCCAAATAAAAAATATGTGAAGTAAGTCAGAAAAGAACAAATACTATCTAATTCCACTTGTTTTGTTTTTGGCAGTCCTAGTGCTTGAACTCAGGCCTGGGCACTGTTGCTGAGCATCTTTTGCTCAAGGCTAACTCTACCACTTAAGCCACAGTGCCACTTCTAACCTTTTCTGTTTTTGTGGTACTGAGGAATCAAACCCAGGGCCTCATATATGCTACATAAGTACTCTACCACTAAGCCACATTCCAGCCTCTAATTCCACTTGTAAGGGGAACTTTAGATATTCAAATTCATAGACAAGAATAAAGGTTGCAAAAGGCTAGAGAGAGAAAGGGAAAAATTTCATGGGTACACAAAATATTTTGCTACATTTTTTCTCAACAAACCCAGCAATTTACACTCTGATGTACAGACCCTATAAAAATACACTTACCAAAACACGTATCATAATGTTTGTCACAGCATAACTTGTACTAGCTGCAATCACAAACAGACAAGAGACGAAGGCTAGTGGCTCATGCCTGTTATCCTAGCTATTCAGGAGGCTGAGCTCTAAGGATCACAGTTCAAAGCCAGCCTGGGCAGGGACATCTTATCTCCAATTAACCATCAAAAAACTGGAAGTGGTACTGTGGCTCAAGTGGTAGAGTGCTCACCTTGAGCTGAAGAGCTCAGGGACAGTGCCTAGGTCAAGCTCAAGCCCCACAACAGACCAGAATAAAAAAAGGCCAGTGCCCATCCAGAATGGGTAGAATTATCAAGGCATCTTCACACTCTGAGTCGGGTGCTAGTGACTCATGTCTGTAATCCTAGCTACTCAGGAAACCGAGATCTGAGGATTGTGGTTCATAGCCAGCACAAGCAGGAGAAGTCTATGAGACTCTTTTCTTCAAATACCCTAAAAATTCCAGAGGTGGAGCTGTGCCTTAAGTGGTAGAGTGCTAGCCTCGAGCCACAGAGCTCAGGGACAGGGCCTAGGTCCCAAATGCAAGTCCCAGTATAGGCACAAACATGAGCCCTACACACCAGACCCAAGATAGAATGCATGTATGCATTGAGAAACATGGCAGCAGACTCTGTGATGGCTGCTCACCTGGGAGCGGCCAGAGGAAGCTAACTCACAGCCGCGCTTCAGCACATTGGGCGGGCATGTTGAAGGCAACAGGATACAGTTTAGAGCAATGACAAGACAAAGGAAAGCAGTCAGGGGCTGCCAGGGGCAGGAACTGGGGCTCGGTGGTGAAGTTTACTTGTAGATTCCTCTAGTGCCGTCTCCGAGCTGATAAGAGATGTCTCCAGTAGGGATAATTTATATCCTTTCGGGGAGGGAGGAACTCCATTCCTGTTGCCGCTCCAATTAATCTATCCTCCTTCCCCTCCCCCTTTCCCTCCCCCTTTCGTGATGCTGAGGCTTGAACTTAGGGTTCTCCCCCCGCCCAGCCCCCAACACACACTGTGTCCTAGGGTTTGAACTCTGGGCCTCTGAAGTGTCTGCTCATCGTTTGGGGAGGGGGCTATGCATGGGAGGCTGGGAAGAGCTGCAGAACCATCAAGAGCTGCTTCTTCCAGAGAGACCCAGAGCTCACACGTGCAGACAGGACGCTTGCCTAGAAGGCTATGTGAGAAGCACCAGCCTGCTTGGTGAGCATCGCTGCTTCCTTGCCCACGTCTGCATCACAGGTCTAGAGCTGGGACACAGCTGGCCAGCTGCAGGGGAAGAGGCTTGGGCCAGATTCAGCTCCAGAGGGGCCTGAGGGTGGCCATGCCCTTATTCTACACACACACACACACACACACACACACACACACACACACACACACGCAAGCGCGCACACGCGCACGCGCACACATGCACGCGCACACATACACACACACACACGCCTGGAGGTACCAGGCTTGACGTGTAGCTAAGGTTAAATAGTCTTAAATACAAGGCAAAGGTTAAGCATCTATGGAGCACACACTCCACAGGTTATTTCTCATGCCAGGAATGATATTTACCACAGAGGTTTTAAATTACATGGGGAAGATCTCATGCTATGAAGTAAGACAAAGTAAGCAGAGTGCAGAACTTCATATATTGTACATGACTATGCACAGAAAAGACTGGAAGAAACGATCCCTCCCAATAATTGCAACTTGTTTGCAGGTCCATTGCCTTAAGCACTTGGCCATGACCATCTTGCTAACCACATACATGGCTAATTTCTGTTTGCGTGGGGTGGTGGTGGGTTCTGGGATTTGAACTCAGGGTATATATGCTATTCCTGAGCTTTTTTGCTCAAGGCCTCTACCGCTTGAGCCACAGCTCCACTTCTGGCTAAAAGATAAGATCTTCAGATCTCAGCTTCCTGAGTAGCTGGGATTACAGGTATGAACAAACTGCTGCCCAGCCAGGAGTGACATTTTTACCATCAGCCTGACCGATATGGATTCTGACCCTTGTGACTATAATAGTTATTCAAACACTGATTTAAAAAAAAACTATAATAGTTATTCAAACAGATATTAAAAAATCGAGGGCTGCGAAGGTAGCTCAGTGGTAGAGTGCTTGCCTCGCATGCATGAGGCCCTGGGTTCCATTCCTCAGCACCACATAAACAGAAAAAGCCCAAAGTGGCACGGTGGCTCAAATGGGAGAGTGCTAGCCTTGAGCTGAAGAGCTGAGGGGCAGCGCCCAGGCCCAGAGTTCAGGCCCCCACAACTGATTGGGGGTGGGGGAGGAAGGAGAATTGAAAGCTTCTTTCCCTTCTTAAGCCTCTTCCTAGGGGAGGTGCTGTGGCCAGCACTGGGGGGGACAGACAGTGATGTCCTTCAATGCTCTCTGAGAGCTCCCCAATCCTCTCCTAGCAGGCTACCCAGCAGGGGGCTAAGGACTCCTCATTACTAGGAAGCTTAGGGCCCAAACTGGAAGAGCTGCTGCTCCCCAGGGTACCAGTATCCCAGAAATCCTCTTCCTGTTATCTATGAATTCTGACCCTTAGGCGTGTATAGCAGTGCACCCCACTACCCTAGCTGCTGGCTTATTTCCACTACTGGGGCTTCAAACATTAGTAGCACAGTATCTAGGCTGGGCATCTATTCTTAGAGGGGACAGTGCCAACAATCAAGGAGCCAGCAGTCCTGGGCTGTGCGGGCTGCACATTCCAGGTACCCCAGGGCGCCTGGCCCCCTCAGCTCCAACCCATATTTGGCAAGGCCAGAATTCAGGCAGGCAGGAGCAAGCTTCAAACCCCAACGTGCATGACAAGAGACACCCAGACATACCCAGCTAACCCAAACACGCAGCTAGCTGTTACCCTGCCCAAATCCTCAAAAACAATCCGCAGTATGCATCTTTCTGCTCTCAGCCTGACAACTCAGGAAACAAGAGGCTACCCCTAGGGCTGAACTGCCCTAGGGAAGCAATTACAGAAAATGCACAGGAGGGGGCTGGGAAGGTGGCTCAGTGGTAGAGCGCTTGCCTTGCATGCATGAGGCCCTGGGTTCGATTCCTCAACACCACATAAGCAAAAATGAAAAAAGCCAGAAGTGGCGCTATGGCTCAAGTGGTAGAGCGCTTACCTTGAGCTGAAGAGCTGAAGGACAGTGCCCAGGCCCAGAATTCAGGCCCCACGACCGGACCCCAAAAAAAAAAGAAAAAGAAAAGAAAATGCACAGGAGGCCCCCCAAAACTAGGAGGGCAGCCTGAGGGCAATTAAAGTGTTGCAGGATGTGGGGTATGGAATCCAGAAGATTTGTGTTCAAATCCATACAATGTTCCTTACATACAGACACAGATTGTGTGGGCAAATCGTGAGAGCTTGTGGACGCTCCGTTTCCCCAGCTGGAAAATGGAAAGAATAAGATCCACCTTATAAAATTATTGGGAAGAAGAAGTTCAATTAGTGTTTAACACAGGCCTGGGGCCTGGCTCACAGTAAGCTGCCAACGAAAGTACCATTAGCC